CCTAAGAAGAGAGACCAGACAAGGACTGTGTGTCGACTGTGTCGAGTTCTCGGAGTCGGAGCTTCGGTCCCGTTAAACCCTAAACCCATTTTTCACTTCGTTGATTATTCATCTTCCTCGCCATGACTACCTCCCAAGCAACTCGTGCGGCTCTGTTTCTTAACGTAAACTTTCTCTCTCAACTCACTCTCCCCAGTGGTCGAAGAATTTCTGTTGATGATTAATTAACTTAATTTCTTCCGTTCTATTGCATAAACTTTACCTAGATTAGCTTTATATTGTTATCTGTGATGTTTGTTTGGATCTATACTCTTATCCTATTTTTTTGATAGAAAGATTCGATTCCATGATATTTTCGTTTGAACAAGTTAATGGCTTTTGCAGGGTTCCAATAGACAAGCTATGCTTTTGCAACGGAGCTCGACAAGTCAATTGTGGGGCTCTGTTAGATTGTCTCTGAATCGAACTAAAGCTGTTAGCTTGAGATGTTCTGCTCAAACTAATAAGCCTGGAGCAGCTGTTTCCACTGGTTCTTTTACTTCTGTTGATGAGCTACCGAGCTTGGTTGAGAAACCTGCTGCGGAAGTTATCCATTTCTATCGTGTGCCATTGATTCAAGAAAGCGCAAACGCTGAGCTGCTGAAAGCGGTTCAAACCAAAATCAGCAACCAGATTGTCAGTTTGACTACAGAACAGTGTTTTAATATCGGACTTGAATTGGAGTTGGAAAACGAAAAGCTCTTGGTTCTGAAGTGGATTCTTCAAGAAACATATGAGCCAGAGAATTTAGGTACTTTTGTAATGTCATGCTTCTTTGCTATGGTTACAGAAATCTTGCGCCTCTCTGTTATTGATGATTGAGTTAAAATTTCAGGCACGGATAGTTTTCTTGAGAAGAAGAAGCACGAAGGACTTCATGCTACAATTGTTGAAGTTGGTCCCAGGTTGTCTTTTACAACAGCTTGGTCCACCAATGCAGTTTCAATATGTAGAGCTTGTGGGTTAAACGAAGTGACTCGTTTGGAAAGGTCGAGGAGGTACCTCTTGTTCAGCAGCGAGCCATTGTTGGAGAATCAAATAGGTGAATTTTCTGCAATGGTTCACGATAGAATGACAGAGTGTGTGTACGCGCAAAGGCTGAGTTCATTTGAGACGAATGTTGTTCCTGAGGAAGTTAAGTATGTCCCTGTGATGGAGAAGGGTCGGAAGGCGCTGGAAGAAATCAACCAGGAGATGGGTTTAGCCTTTGATGAGCAAGACTTGCAGTATTATACTCGACTTTTCAGAGAGGACATTCAGCGTAACCCCACCAATGTGGAGCTATTTGATATCGCTCAATCCAACAGCGAGCATAGTCGACACTGGTTCTTTGCTGGGAACATGGTTATTGATGGAAAGCCAATGGATAAGTCTCTTATGCAAATTGTAAAGAGCACTTGGGAGGTAACAATATAGGGCTTCTGTCAAATTTTTCTTCTTATCTACAGTTTCAAACTTTTCATTTTATATAATTCACTTTTATCTTATGTGTTTCATCTTGCAGGCAAATCGAAATAATTCCGTCATTGGGTTCCATGATAATTCCAGTGCCATTAGAGGCTTTATGGTGAACCAGCTGCGGCCTCAACTCCCTGGTTCTGCTTGCTTACTTGATGTCAGTGCACGTGATCTCGATATACTGTTCACTGCTGAAACACATAATTTCCCTTGTGCGGTGGCTCCTTATCCTGGTGCTGAGACGGGTGCTGGAGGTCGGATTAGGGATACACATGCTACAGGAAGAGGCTCTTTTGTGGTTGCATCCACTTCTGGTTACTGTGTTGGTAACCTCAACATGGAGGGATCTTATGCTCCATGGGAAGACTCGTCTTTTCAGTACCCCTCGAACCTAGCCTCACCTTTACAGATACTCATCGATGCCAGCAATGGTGCATCTGACTATGGGAACAAATTCGGAGAGCCTATGATTCAAGGATATACAAGGACCTTTGGAATGAGACTGCCAAGTGGGGATAGACGAGAATGGTTGAAGCCGATTATGTTTAGTGCAGGTATTGGACAGATTGATCATACTCATATAACCAAAGGGGAGCCAGAGGTAGGGATGCTTGTTGTTAAGATTGGTGGACCTGCTTACCGTATTGGTATGGGAGGAGGAGCAGCTTCGAGTATGGTTAGTGGTCAGAATGATGCAGAGCTTGATTTCAATGCTGTGCAGCGTGGAGACGCTGAGATGGCCCAGAAGTTGTACCGTGTTGTCCGTGCTTGCATTGAGATGGGCGAGAAGAATCCCATTATCAGTATTCATGATCAAGGTGCTGGTGGGAACTGCAATGTCGTCAAAGAGATTATTTATCCAGAGGGTGCAGAGATTGACATACGAGCGGTTGTTGTGGGTGATCATACTATGTCGGTATTGGAGATATGGGGAGCAGAATATCAAGAGCAAGATGCAATTTTGGTGAAAGCTGAGAGCCAAGAGATTTTGCAGTCGATCTGTAAGAGGGAAAGGCTTTCAATGGCTGTGATTGGAACAATTAATGGAGAAGGTCGCTGTACTTTAATTGACAGCACCGCTGCAGTTAAGTGCAGTAAAGAAGGGCTACCTCCACCTCCTCCTGCTGTGGATCTTGAACTCGAGAAGGTTCTTGGTGATATGCCTAAGAAGACGTTTGAGTTCAACCGCATTGCTTATGCACGGGAACCACTTGATATTGCTCCTGGGATTACATTGATGGATTCTTTGAAAAGGGTTCTGCGATTACCATCTGTTTCTTCAAAGCGGTTCCTGACAACCAAAGTGGATAGATGTGTGACAGGTCTTGTTGCCCAGCAGCAAACAGTTGGACCATTGCAGATCACCCTTGCTGATGTTGCAGTTATTGCACAGACCTTCACAGATCTAACAGGTGGCGCATGTGCCATTGGTGAGCAACCGATTAAAGGTTTGCTTGATCCAAAAGCCATGGCTAGACTAGCTGTTGGAGAGGCTTTGACAAATTTGGTTTGGGCAAAGGTAACTGCAGTTTCTGATGTTAAAGCTAGTGGTAACTGGATGTATGCTGCAAAGCTTGAAGGAGAAGGATCAGCGATGTATGATGCTGCAATTGCTCTATCCGAAGCGATGATCGAACTTGGCATTGCAATTGATGGTGGAAAAGACAGTCTCTCAATGGCAGCTCATGCGGATGGTGAGGTTGTGAAAGCTCCAGGAAATCTTGTGATCAGTGCCTATGTTACCTGTCCAGACATAACAAAGACAGTGACTCCGGATCTGAAGCTAGGAGATGATGGTGTTCTCTTGCATGTTGATTTGGCAAAGGGAAAGCGAAGATTAGGTGGATCTGCACTAGCTCAGGTTTTTGGTCAGATCGGAAACGACTGTCCTGATCTTGATGATGTTCCATATCTGAAAAACGTTTTCGAGGGCATTCAAGCTCTCATTTCAGAAAATTTGGTATCTGCGGGACACGACATCAGCGATGGTGGATTAGTTGTAGCAGCTTTGGAAATGGCTTTTGCTGGAAACAGAGGTATTAACCTTGACTTGGCTTCGAACGGGATTAGCCTTTTTGAGACTTTGTTTTCTGAAGAACTCGGTCTGGTGATGGAGATTAGCAACAAAAACTTAGACACTGTGATGGAAAAACTCCGTGGTTTCGATGTTACTGCTGAGATCATTGGGAAAGTCACTGACTCTCCTTTGATAGAGGTGAAAGTTGATGGGATAACTCATCTGAGTGAGAAAACTTCATTCCTCAGAGACATGTGGGAAGACACCAGTTTCCAGGTAGAAAAGCTGCAGCGATTGGCGTCCTGTGTAGAGATGGAGAAAGAAGGTTTAAAGTCGAGGCATGAGCCTAACTGGAAACTGTCATTTACTCCTTCCTGGACCGACAATAATTATATGTCTAAGGGTAAGATTGATCTCTATGAAGCTTCTTTTTATCATTGATTAAGCTTATAATTCCTGATGAGAATGTTTTGTTTATTGTATATGCTTTCAGATGTTAAGCCAAAAGTAGCAGTGATCCGAGAGGAAGGCAGCAACGGAGACAGAGAAATGTCAGCTGCATTTCATGCCGCCGGTTTTGAACCATGGGACGTGACAGTGTCTGATCTTCTCGCCGGAGCAATCACTCTTGATCAGTTCCGCGGGATTGTGTTTGTGGGAGGTTTTAGCTACGCGGATGTCCTCGACTCAGCCAAAGGATGGGCTGCTTCAATAAGATTCAACGAGCCTCTCTTGAGTCAATTCCAAGAGTTCTACAAAAGACCAGACGCGTTCAGCCTCGGAATCTGCAATGGATGTCAATTAATGGCCTTGTTAGGATGGGTTCCAGGTCCTCAAGTTGGCGGGTCACTCGACACGTCACAGCCAAGATTTGTTCACAACGAATCAGGAAGGTTTGAGTGCAGGTTCACAAGCGTTACCATCAAGGACTCGCCATCGATAATGCTGAAAGGAATGGAGGGAAGTACCTTAGGAGTTTGGGCAGCTCATGGAGAAGGACGGGCTTATTTCCCAGACGAAGGAGTCTTAGACCATATGCTTCACTCGGATTTGGCTCCATTGAGATACTGTGATGATGATGGGAGTGTGACTGAAGCTTATCCTTTTAACCTCAATGGTTCACCGTTGGGGATAGCGGCTATATGTTCGCCTGACGGGAGACATCTTGCGATGATGCCTCATCCCGAACGTTGTTTCTTGATGTGGCAGTATCCATGGTACCCGACAAGCTGGGATGTTGAGAAAGCTGGGCCGAGTCCGTGGTTGAAGATGTTCCAGAATGCTAGGGACTGGTGCTCTCAGCTTTAGAGTTACGAAGGCTTTATCTGCAGGATTTTGTTGTGTTCGATGTTTTGCAGAATTTTTGAAAGAATTTGTCGAATGTGCTTAAATTTTACTGAGATTATTCTGACAATTACGTTTTATTTCGATTGATAATGCATTTTTCATATGAAAAAATAAATTCGTTATACTACAAAGACCACCTGATATGAATTATACGTACAGTACTTGAAAGAATGTAATTCTCGAACCAACCTTTGATAAATTTATTCTCTGCAAAATATTTGCTTCAAACATACAAAAATCAGTATACATACTAGTTCGATTATCAATTCGTTTGCACTACAACAATGTCAAAACGTATACAAGCTTATTTGCTCTCTTTCCATCTTCCTTCTTCTTCATTGTGCCCAATGTATATAAATTAAATCAAAGAATGCCATTCTCCAGCCAAACTTCTGGTTCTTCTCTGAAAAATCCTTAATTGCGCTTTAAAATGAGCAATGGATCATCGGGATTTCACCGTCGCATGACCAGTATCAGCCAAATGCTTGTGTAGTTTTGTCCTGGCCACGGTAGATAAATGGTAGGTTAACATTTGAATGATACATGAGTATATATAGTGCTGGGAATTGGAGATGACAAGAACAAATATCTAATGGACCAACCTCGACTCAAACTCCTCTCCGCATCTATCACATTCGTTATTACTGTTTTTCTTTGACGTGCCCTGCATTTCAATATATATGAGATTTCAAGAATTACCACACGAAAATCTATGATTTAGAGGGAAGAAAGATTTGTACCTTGGCTTTCATTCCTCTGGTTGATTTCTTTGATCTGGAGGTTTTCTTGTAATCCTTCGCGTTATCTATATATTCACTTCGATCCTCAACCGCTTCAGCATGAGACTCTTCCTTCTCTCCATTTCCATCTTGAGTATCGTCTGCTTCACTGCTCTTCTCCGTTAACCCTCCTAGATTATTCTTATCCTTACCCTTCTTACTTCTGCGCCTCCTCCCTGTGCTCTTCCTGTTATCATACTCCATTAAATCTGGCTCATCCTTTTGAGAATCCTCAAATGCTCCGGAAACTGAGTCTGTTGCATCCACATTGTCATCTGTATCACCATCGTCTCCAGGTATCTGTACTTTGCTGGCATCATCCGTTGTGTCTTTTCCAGCATTCCGTTTATTTCTCTCCTTCTTACCTTTTCTATTCCTACCTATGCTTTTCTGGTTATCAAATTCGCTGAACCCTGCTTTGTTGCTCTCAAAATCGACTTGAGCTTCTTCATCTTCTTTCCTTGACACGACATTCTTTTGCTTTTTCTTCTGCCCAGACACCATTTTCTTGAGTAGA